CGTACCATTAATGTTCCCCTATAGTATGTATATTACTCCGTATACACATACGTATATGAGAAAATAAAATATGTGTTTTTATTTCTTCATTAAAATTTGGTTTTTTGGACTTGGCCCTTTTAACAAAAGCCATGTAAAATAATAATTGTTATCTAAACGTATTTATAGTTAAACCTATGAAATTAAATGCATAAAATTATGAAATTTTGCAATAATGTAGCCCGCGTGTAATTCAAGTTATTGAACAATATACAAGGCAAAATAATTAATTAGTTTTGCATGCTATTTATTTATTTATTTATTTATTTATTTATTTATTTATTTATTTATTTATTTATTTATTTATTTGTTTCAGTTATTTAATAGTTTAATTGGCCAATTTCGTACTTTTTCTCTCAAAGATATTCAAAAGTTAAAAGATCATCTACTAAATGCAACAGTAAAACGCTTGAATTTCTTTAACCACTACCAATGTTTCAAACAAAAGGAATCCCGATACCTCCAACTCATGAAGTAATCATAAAGTAAGAAGTAGTTATATCGTTTATATTATTTATATCAGAGCGGAAGTACCAGAGAGTAGGATACTGTAATTCTGAGATGCAAACATTTCGGCCGCTTCAACAACCGGTAAGTTTCTGCACCAACATATGGTGATAAATGATCTACTCAAATGTAACCTTGGCGCTTAGTATAAACGCAGATATATAATACTATTGCAAAATAGAACGACAATTAAATACCCATTGCACTGATTACAATCTAGTGAGGAAAACTCCAAGTCGAACAATCGTCCTCACATTAAAAAGAAAGGTCAAGAACGTGGGAACGCTTGAATTCTCATTATGTCCTCAGCGGAATCAGCTACAGTTGTTGACCAAGAATCTCATTGTCAATATACATATTTCCGCCCATTATAGGATCATTTCATGTCAATTCTACAAAATTGCCTGAGGTACGTGACCTTGACAAGAATGCTTCATTCCAGAGTTCCTTCAATATCTAATGCACAAGCCGCAAAAATATAGCGACAGGAAAGATGTTCGTTTAAATTTGCATTCATCGAAATGAGACATCGCGTAACAAAAGCCAAACTTGACGATTCTCTGGACGTTTCCGCTGCGCACCGAATCTTTTGAGAGCGTGGGGGAAGACCCATAAGAGTGTTTTATAAGAACTTAATCTCACGCATTCAACGTACATCGAAAATATGTGGATACCGATTTTCATTAAAAATGCATCACGAAATACTTCGGACATTGCTATGTGATATTCTGTTGTGATACGTAAGATTCATACTGCATGTTCTCTTACAGTAGTTTGTTCTGCATGATATGCAAGAATAAATTAATGTTCTCATATTCCCCACATGAATATTCCCTGGATGTTCCCCACATGTTCCCTGGATGTTCCTCGCGAAAATTAAACTGGAAATTCAGTCACATTTGCAGTCGTATTTTGTTACGAATACTACTGAAAACCGTACGGCGGGGGACTGAGCAATCCGTGCAGGCAGTACAGCCACTTCAGGCTTTTCTGGCAAATGGAATTGTAAATTCTAATTAGCAAGAGCATTCAGAGTAGACTAACTTCCAAAAATGTACTACAAGAGCGCAAAATAATATTGCGGAAAAATGACAATAATTTTTTATTTCATTTTATTTAACGCTTCAAGCTCCATGTGTATTATTTTCACACACATCATTTCCTCATGGGACCAAGCCCATCACCGTCGGTACTCGAACACTAGGACCTTCGAATAAGAGTCACTGCAGTGACATCAGCTGCGCCCCTCAGCCATCGCAGCCGGTGAGTGCACCTGGTATTGATGAAAAACGCAAAAAACTACAGAGCAGTGCATTATCCCGCCAGGGTTCACCTTCAGGCAGAGACTGAGAGAGAACTAGTGCCAACAATCAGTCACACCTAGGGCAAACCGGTTAGCGCTGTGCTACTGAAGCAACGGTGTTGCCGATGGACTAACGCAGCCACTTTTGAAGTATCTAGCGACCACTTCCCACAACACGCGAGAGTCCCTGAAGTATGGAAGGGTGTATGGAGTGAGCTACAAGATCTTTTCATAGTCTAACAAAAGACCGCATCAAGGAATCGAGGTTCATCTACAGCGAATAGATTGTTTACTTGCATACGTAGTAATCAAATAGAATTAAAATGCAGCAAAAACTCGTAATACATTTTGATTTTTGAGATTTTGATGGAAATACATGTTTCGAGATACAGAAAAATGCATTGTTTCAAAACGGTCCGTCCGTCCACCCGTCCGTCCACCCGTCCGTCCACCCGTCCGTCCACCCGTCCGTCCACCCGTCCGTCCATCCGTCCGTCCATCCGCCCGTCCATCCACCCGTCCATCCACCCGTTCATCCGCCCGTCCGTCCGCCCGTCCATCCGTCCGGTTGCCCGCCCGTACGACGGTCCGTCCACCCATCCACCCCGGTGTGTGCGCCCGCCCGCGTATTCCCCACTAGTCCGCAAGTATTATAGGACCACAAGTTTATGCTTGTGACACTTCTTATGGGATGTGGGAAACAAGAAATGAGATAACTGCCACAGCACTTTCCATGGAAATTATAAACCTACTATTGATGGACGCTATTACGATATACTTAGCACATTATCTTTGACTTAAAGGTCACAATAACATGATGGTAGGACCTATGCTTCAACTCGAACCCCATCCCTGGTAATATGTGCATTGCGGTTGCTACTTTTGCATTAGCCATCTTGGTGGGCTCTTAGAAGGTTTCTGTGACATCATTCACGAATGTCAAATCATTTAATGCGGGCCACAATGTGTCTTTCAGGCATAGGAAAGAAGAATAATTAGAATAAGCAACCCTAACTTTCCCCTTCCTGAAAACGAGGGGACGTATTATTCGGTTACTTGGAAGCCACAGGAAGTCCCCAGCAGCCCACGAGGCTTAGCGCACGCAGCAAGGCGGCCCCTAGTTCCTTCGAACCTTTCAGGAAACCACGCACGGAGAAACACAGAAACGTGTTCATGGCTGGGAAAGAAAGAATTAATAGCACAGAGCTTACCGCCATGCGATAAATACTTCTAAGTCGTAACAGTAGACAACCTATTTATGCATGTTGTAAACATTAAACAAAGATTGGTTGAAGGCGTAGAAAAACTCTTCCTCAAGGAACATCTTTTGTTCTCATCACGTTTCTTTCCTTTACGAGCAAATTATTTTTAAAAGAACTTGCTCTGACAAAAATCCGTCTACTTCCAGTAATTTTTGACTGATGAAAAATTTTACATATGTTTATGCATATCTTCTATTAAATAATATTTTGATGAGAAGAAAATCAAAGTACCTGGTCGTTTCAATTTTGAAGAAATGAGATTGAATTATCATTCCTGCTGCATTACTTTTGAAAAAATATTTTTCCCGATGTGAAACATCTATACCTTTCTGTTCTTCACTGCAAAAAATACTGTTAATTCCAAAGCTCCCATCACTTAAAACAAGAGAGAAACCATTGACAATAATTCATGGATTCAGATTACATTTTTCAGAATTCTAAGCATTTAAGTAATTCCGTTTACCGGATTATCAAAATAGCATCTTCAATTATCATAAAAACATTCAAAGGTAGTTCAAATGACAAATTAAATGCACCTACTAAGATTGTATACGAATATTTTATGATAATGAATTAGTTCTTCGCTCATTTTTTTTTATTTCATTACAAACGTTTCTATTGTATTTGTACTAATTAAATGAATTACAAAATTCACTTCAGTTAACACGCAATATTTTCCAAGTACTTTGTATTGAAATAACGATTGTCACGTTTATCATTTTCTATATTAATAATAATGATAACTAGCTGACCCGGACAACTACATCGCACAACAGAAAAACTATTGGTAAGGTTACGACAAATTATTATACACTATAGATACGGACTGAAAATCTCAAAAATATTTGGTATGTCGTTCATTAGTGCTTTTTCAAAACTAATGAATTACGATTTTTTCAATTGGAACAATAAAATCAATACTGATCGTGATGTTTACCAAAATCTGTACAAGTATGTTGTAATGGACTACAGCAGAAATTATGCTACATCTCCAGTGTTATTTAATGATGTAATGAAACAAAATTATAATCACAGAACATTTTTTGTCTAGACACATATTTAACAATTGCCGGATATTGCGTTTATATACTACCTTCATTCAAACAGCTCACTAATCGTTGAACGTAGAAAACTTTCAAAAAAACATTGGCATTCTTTAAATAGGTCTATTATCACTCGCAAAACAAATGGAAGCAGGACAAAAATCTACACGGAATAGAGTAGGTTTTGAATCCAAATGAAGGACAAATGACAGAAGATAAGCGTTCATTCCATTAATATTACGATCTCATTAAAATTTAGTGTTTATACTATTATTAATAAATTAATTAGTGTCCATAATAGCACGGACAACACATCTAGGGCCTACTACCTTTCGTTCAGAAGAAAATTCAATAAGTTAGGTTGATTTGAGAAAAAGCTTTCGTTCCTTTGTAAACGATGTGGATAAAAATAATTTTAAAAAATGATTATACTCAGCACACGAATTTAAAACATTGCGCCCCCAATTTACATTTCATTTACACGGGCATTTTCGCAAGTGTTTCAGAATGAATCCAACACGTTCCTCCACGCGCGTGTCCACCAAGCGAGTAGTGTTGCCGACTATTGTTAGAGGAGAGCGGCGAGTGTTGCCGGGCAACGCGAAGCTCCCACAGCCGCCAGCTCTGCCAGAACAATGCCATCGTCCCGCGCACCAACGAGTGCGTCCTGTCCGCCGGCGCAGGCGCCCGCCCCACGCGGCGGGCCGTGGGCGTGGGCGGCGCGGCGGTGGCGGCGGCGGCGGCGGCCGCGGGCATGCCGCAGCGGCGGGGGCGGGGGAGGGGAGGGGGGAGGGAGGGCGGGCGGCGGCCGGCGGCCGATATAAGCCCGGGGGCCCGCGGCCCGCCGTCGTCATCCGCAGCCATGGCCACGGCGACGCTGCTGCCGTCGGTGCTGCCGCTGCTGTGGGCGTCGCCGGGCTTCGCGGCCGCCTACCTCTGGTTCGCGCTCGGGCTGGGCCCGCGCATCATGCGCGGCCGCGAGCCGCTCCGCCCCAAGACGGTGCTGGCCGTGTACAACGCGCTGCAGGTGGCGCTCAACGTGGCCATGCTGTGCAAGAGCGTCTCGCTGTTCGTGGACCGGCGCTACGACCTCATGTGCCCGCGCGCGCAGCCGCCGCTGCACGTCGTCATGGGCGACTCGCAGGCGCACGCCTTCGCGCTGGAGGTGGGGCGGCCAACGCGCAATGCGTGCATGTGGACGGGTCGCGGCGGCAGCTCCGGGCGATGCGCCCGCCCTAAAATGCGGGTTTAGGAAGCACCGAAATTGTTTTTACACATTTGCATCAATTTCTTTTAAATCAAGTGTTTGTTACATCGGCTCTTTAGGAGAGGTAGTACAATTCTACTTTTCGGTAGCATTTTTTACCAACATAAAACCATTAAAGTTGATTATTAAATTACGCTTAAGGAATATTTCAACAAAGTTGAAAGGATTTGCAGTATGCAATTAAACGTCATCTTTGTCGGACCGAAAACTGAAGGTATGACCAAGGGTGGGGTTTGTAGTTGAGGCATAAATGGTTTCCCTGGTTTTCTGAAATTCAAATCGTTGGAAACATGTCAGGATTTACAAATGTTGCCCGTTTTTTTGTAGAGGTAGGAAATAATATTTCTAGATATTAGCTTCTTTCCTTAAGCGATTCAGTGTATATGTCGAAGTAATTTTAATGTTTCTAATAGATATGATTTATCGCAATTGTCAACACACATTTCAATTCCTGTAATACTTTCATTACACAAACGTGGGTATATTTTCGAGAAAACAGTTTTCTGGGTGACTTAAAAGTGAAACGCAAAACAACGTAAGAAAATACAGCGAGCACTGAAGTCAAGAAGCTTCCAGAAACACAGTAATAGTTATTATTTCAAAGTTCATCTCACAGTTCATCTCAAGTGTCATTAGCTGCATTGTATCTCTATTCAGTCAGTTAATGACATCATCAGAGATACATAGCTCCTATAAGGAAACGAGTGTGATGAGTCTATGATCTTCTTGCAAGTTCTAATGTGCTAACGATAGCTACTAATTGATTTTGCGTAATATATTAGATATAAAATATATCACTTAAATTCATTCTAATTTCGCTTCGAAAACTGACAGTGTTTGTTTTGTTCCGTGACAGGTGGCGCGCGTCGCTCACTACCAAGCATCAATGCGGCTGCTGGATTTGGCAGATACTGTGTTCATAGTGCTGGCCAAGAAAACAAGACACCTCACTTTCTTGCATCTTTACCATCATTGCAGTGTAATTTTGTTCGCCTGGACAATTTTAAAGATAGATATTGGAGGTAAGAACTGAGAAAGATATTGAATTTGTATGTCTTTAGATGAGACATAAGTACTTACTGTTCAGAGAAATGTATTCGCTATTAAATGCTCATACAGAAAGTACTACACCTGTGAAAATAAGTCTAACAACAAAACGAAATGATTATTTCGTTTACAAGAAATATTTTTAAAAACTCTATTAAGACCTTGTACTTCGCTTTTATCACCATCTATTTTCATTTTAGATTTTGGCTAAAATTAAACTCATCGCGGATAATCATTTTGATTGGCCATGTGTTTTCAAGCACACAATGACGGCAAAAATAATTATCATTCTCTCTTTGAGAAAAATATTAACTATTAGGTTCTCTTTTAACACGCATCTAAATATTGCTCTAACTTCTAAATAGTAATGCACTTTGTTATCTCTTAAAGAGTGTAATTTATTTTTTAACCAGGCACGGTAACCCTTCTTCCGGCCAGCATCAACAACTTCGTGCACGCCACCATGTACTCCTACTACTTGCTCTCGCTCTTCGGATTCCAGCTCGCTCGATCCTGCAAGAAGTACATCACGCAGCTGCAAATTGTGAGTTGCATTAGTAGCGTTGCTCCATTTTAGCCTTGCGTACAATTTTTTGGAAGGTGTGGTGTGTTAAAAAGTCCAAATTAATGCAAGCAACTTTTTTCCATTGAACTCCTCTTTTAAATGAATATAAGGAAAAATGAGTATTTTCTAACATTATTCTCACACTGTGGATGCAAAGAAATGTATCCAATTAATTTTTTTTGATGTTTACAAATTGGCAGAAAAGTAGTATCTGAAAACAGCATCAAAATTTCCTCAAATTCCCTGAACGACCGATAATGCCTTCTGTTTATCATACTTAATTTGAAATGCATTAACATCTTACCCAAGTCACTGATCTATATTATTTTGTTCTATTTTGGAAACCTTATTTGCGAACATCAAGTAGATCAAGTATTTATCTTATTATCCTGCTTAAAAATATGCAATAAACTTACGAGATTGTGAATAATCTGGGCAGAAGAAAAACGACCATAAATAAGTAATAAATGTGCAGTTATAGTATGTGTTCAGAATCTTCAGTAACTCTTCCACTTTGATCAGAACAATATTTTAAAACAAAAGAAAAGAGACATGGCAATGAACTGCATAGGTATAACCAACTCATAATTTTGAAGAGAACAAAAATGGTGGAAGATGTTTCTGTTTGGATGTCAAAAGCGACGGCCGCGTTGTATGTCTGCATTTTCCTTTAGACAGAAATAGAGGAAATCTTACAAACCAAATTCATATAACGTCGAAAACACCATTACGGTAACTCGCTGGTATATTTCTTGCAGTCATGTACACGATTACTATTGTAAAATAATAGAATACACTCAGATAATGCATACTATTCTACAAGGCACTTTCCTTGGGCTCGAATGAGACATGATATCCATCTTTAAGACGTTTCTCATTAGTGTATACTCCATTATTCCAAATGTTTTTAAGTTACTTATTTTGAACTAATTCTCCCTTGATTATAGTGATCGTTCAAGAGTCCAAAATGTAATATTTTTCGAGTGCTCGAAATACTGCGATCGGATATCATATCAATAACATTCCTTAGTTAAACCTGATGTACTCATACGTAGAAGAAAGAAAGTTTAAAAAAATGATTATTCCATAGTATTAATTGGTGCATAATTATATACATGACATTATATAACAATTATATATATAGTGTGTGTGTGTGCTTAAGGTTATTTCATTTGTTCGTTCCAGCTCCAGTTCGTGTTGGTGGTGCTCTATCTGCTGCAAGCTATAATGCGCAAAGACTGTGATACGTCACTTCCAATAATAGGACTCAACTTTACTCAAGGTGTAGTGTTCCTTTGGCTCTTTCTTCAGTTCTACCGAGGAGCCTACCATAAAAAGAAAGAAGTCTGATCGTAGCATCATGACGATTTGGCACCACTGTCGTTACCCCCCAGCTAAGGCAGCAAGAGAAAACATCAAACCAAGTGCATCCTACTGATCTGTGACGCATCATCCATTGACGTAATCATCATTGCCATCGTATAGCAAATACCAGGTGACACAAGACTGATGTTTCTCTTACCGAACGAGAAAATTAGAACTGACGGAGTTTTACTTGAAGAATACTTTTGAATTCCAACGAACGTCTGTGATACCCAATAGTTCTCGGTGGGTAGAATAAATAATGTAGCGGGCAGGTACAGTCCCATTCACAAATAAACCTTTGTGTGAAATGAGTGTGGGTTTCGGGTTAACATATATTTAAGGTCCCATAACGTTACTTCTTTGTTATTCTTCCTCGTATTCATCAAATTAGAAACCAAGAATGATAACAATCACTACAATGTGTAACTATCATCATTGTATCCTGTAATATTTCTTTTCCTGCGAAGGAATGCTTGAATAACGTGTTTTAGACTACGCTGCCGGAAGAATCCATTTTGATCGGCCCTTTCTTCTCTTGTGATACGCTACACTTAACCACTTGCCTCCCAGCTGATTCCGTCCACTTGACTCTTGTTGACTCAGCTACTTAATGTTGACTAAATACAACACGCGCTCTCCAAGATAAATGCTAAGTGGAAAAACGAGCCATGAAAGGATTCCGACTGAATGGATTAATGCATTGGAAATCAAAGAAATAGTTTACATACCGGGAATATAATTTGAGCCAATAAAACACGGAATGATCTCTCGTTGATATTGCAATTCTTGCCTCAAGTTCATGAAATGTATACTCTGAAATCAATGTAATTTCTTGGTTAATGTAAATGAAAAAAGTGTTTAAATGCATTAAACAGCTTTTACATAACTAAAATGAAATTAATTGTTTAAAAACTACATGCAAAGTACAGAATTGAAACACAGCTCAAGATATCAAAGTTATTTAATAATCGTTGTTTTTTTATAGTGTATTTTTCTCCATGATGAACTTTGTTATCAAAATTGTGAATGTGAGAGTTACAAGTGTTTGCAAGTTATCTGACATCAAATTCTCGTATTAATTCCATTATCAAAATCAATAATGTCATTACTTGGAAATATTTTTGTTTAAATTTGTTTTATTTAGTATAATTTACTAAAAAGGATCTCGGTTATTACTACTGCAGTAAATGGATCAAAAGAATACAATCCGCAAATGTAAAAAATACAGTATATTTTAAGTCTTCATCAGTCTTCAAATAAATCAAAATTTTAGCTGTCAAGAGATAGAAGTTGTCTCTATCCTTCAGTATGTGCGAAGCGTGAGTATGTTTCATTTCCCTGGTCGTATTGACGAAGATTTGATATTCAAATAACAAAACGAGTGTTGTACCAACTTTATAATGTGACCTGGTTAATATTATTGAATTATCCAATAAGTGTCACACAGAAACACGAATTGATAGGAAGTGATTCACAGAACCTTATTGTAAGTCGTTCCGTGGCATGGCAGTTTTTTAAACTTAATCACTGTAATATAAAAAATAGTACAATAAAAATAAATCTCACACAATTATAAAAGATTCTCTTACAAAAACTGAAACAGTTCAAATATATCTGTGATGTGAAAAGTGTCTTGCCCAACATAATTTTTGCTTATAACTCAAAGGCACAATTTACAGATAAACATTTACAAACATTAACTTTAAGAACTAATAAGAACATATTTTGATTATTTTACAAAAAGTGAGTATCATAATAGTTATGGTTCACTGTCTACTTTATTTATTTCTTGTATATACATTGTCCCGTATGACAAGTGAAAAAATCTTAATTTATTTGTTGTTAATATTTGAGAGATGGGCAAACATTTGATAGACGGCTCATATGAGTGTTCAAAAAATTATTTATAGAGACAATTATGCAAACGAATGTACATAAACTTTAATTTCAAAATAATTACCCATCTACTTTCTCTGAAACAGTCACAAAATGTATGTGGCAACTCATGACTTTTTGAGAGAATCAATATTTTTGCTCATTCCTCGCAATCACATTAGTAATAATGTTTAGTTCTCAATGAGAAAGTGATTTTCAAGATTCATTATTTGGACCTCAGAATCATCCGAACTGTAACGCAAACTATTAAGAATCTTATTGCACCATTCCAGATTTGTTCGTCAAATTGGACGTTGGTTTCCAACACTGAATATACAAATATATGTAGAAGTGTTTCCTCTTCTCAAAGAGGTAAAAAGTGGGCACTAAGAATTTTTTGTAGTTTTAATCTCGAGAGAAGAGGAAACGAAGACCAAAGTACAAGCAATTCAGTACCAACGGCCAGTATACAACATACACCTAAATTTTATGTAAATTGTATGTACAGCTCTGCATGCCGAAGTTGTTGGAGACAAATTACTCCTTTAGACCTAATAAAAAGTTGTTTTTTCTAAACACAGAAGTTCTATTTGTTTTTGTACAAATCCTGAGAAATGGTTATATACTATGACAGTTATGAATTTGAAATAGATATCCTTACTGATTAATCTACTGAAGTGAATACAAATAAGTCAAAAATCAAATATCTTCACTATAGGTAGTTAAATAACACTTCTTTCCGCTACAAAAAAAATCGGTTGTGATAGCAGAACACGAAGTATTGCATTTCATTCACTACAAAATAGTTATTTGATTCACCAAAGAACATGAATCTTTGACGTTTGAATAAAATGTTGAAATGGGTACGCGCAAGACGATTTTGTAGTCCAAGTCGTGTAGCTTATTTTTAGTACCAAATCAGGGCTTATTACAAGTATATTAGTTATAAAATCATTCACAAGGTGCGAAACGTCTTTCACATATATTCATGTCGCACCAAAGATTTTTTTTCCTTTTGGTTCGGCCTGTTAACTCATTTCATTAGAGCGAAAGGAGTTGGAAATTTGGTTATTTCGACATCAGAACAATTATTGTAATTGTTTATGCACATAATGTATATTTTACAGAAGTGAAAATTTATTTTCAGATATTATCAACTATGTTCGTTGCTACCTTTTATTCATAATTTAACTAATAATGGTAGAGTGGGAGTAGGGGCCAGTGTTTTACTTCCATCCCGGCAGGCGTTCCACCAACTGCTACTTTACCGTACGTGTACCACAAAGTAACAATCGCCAAACGACAACCAGTGTACGAAACGATTTTCAGAAAATATTTTTGGAACAGTTAACTACTAGGTTCAATTTCTGTTGCGAAGTGTTGCCATTGCTCTAACCACTAAAGCTGAAGATTAAATTTTGAAGAAAAAGAAAGAGATGATGCAATTCTTCTATGAAATTGGAAATTTTTAAAAAAGAAAGAATATTTTCCAGGTGCTTCATTTAAGCTAAGCCACAAATTCAAAAAAAATACAGTATATGATGTCCAGGTTTGTCGGGGAAATATGCATTTTGGGGAAAATACTACGAATAATTTAGGCGCTAGTGAAATTTAGAAACAGACAGATATCCAGACACGCGAACACACGGACAGAAAGACATTCTGAAAACAAAGAGCTTTTTTTCGGTGACAGATGGCCCAACAACTAAACTATGGGAATCGATTTTGCGCACCATTACGTCAGGTTGCGAAAGAAATCTCTTGTTTTCTATTGGAGGTGCACAGTTTCGAAAAATTATCGAACTCATGTAATTTTCAAAATTTCAGAGGTTTTAACGAAAATCGTAACTACCAATTTTGCACTTCTCCTCTATTCAAGCAAACAGTTTTGAAAAAGTGCAGCAATTATTCAGAAAAGTTTGAAAATGTCTCGGAAATTGCATAAAATTCCCCTCCAAATTGAATTGCGGATCTACAAGATTCCCGAACGGATCAACTAGTTCTTAAGCTGACAAGTGAAGTGGTCCGCGCGCGTTACTTGCATTGTCGACCGGAGAGAGAGATCGTCGGTTTTTGTTTTGGAAGGGGGGGGGCAAGAAGGAGACTTGTGTAGGGAATGGGCTTCCGAGACGTGCGTTCGTGAAGTGGAGGATAGTTCTTTGGGCTGTGACGTCATGAAGCCAATTTAATTGCAAATGGAGTACAATGAGCAGCAAAATCGTTCAGATTTAAAGGAAATATTTTCGAGGATGTCTATGAGAATTAATGAGACAGACTATTTCAAAGGCAGGTTTTATTCGGAAACGAAAAGTGTATGCCGCAGCTGAAAACATGGAAAATAACGTACGAGCATCAATAAAGTGAGCAGACTATTGACCGAAGTGTGATGAATGTTTGATATTCTTTTTAAAATTCACAATGTCAAAGATCAAGTTTTGCAGTAACAGAAAAAATCGTAATGATATATTAGGTCATATCATTAAGTAGGTTGTGCACATAATAGAAATTATTTTTGTATCTTTAGTTTTGCAAATTTATAAACATTATAGTGTTTTTTGTATTATTAGTAGTGTAATTGGTTGTGGATTTCAAAGGGGATGAAATGTTATATTTTGTATAGCGTGGTAACGGTGATTTGCGAAATGGCGCAATGGTTGCCATAGTCAGAATAAATGACAAATGAAATCGTGTATTCCCCATATTTCTGAAATAAACACATAATGTACGATATCTGTTAATTAAACTACATGGTTTCCGTTTGGAAGGGATCAAGACCAAAATTTCAGAATGCACCAGGGTTGAAGTCAGATAACAGTGCGAGGAAGAGTTTATTGGAATAATTTAAAGAAATCATCACGGTTTCAGTTCCGTGGTATTGCATACGTAGTGTGGGGCTCAGACAGCCAAATAATTAATATATTTAGAGACAATAAACAATTTGAGGGATCAGTTGATACTCTTACTTCCAATCATTCGCATTTCCTGTCATCCCGATTTTCGAGTACACAATTGCGTGTATCTCCACGCCACTTGCACCGATGTTCGTAATATCACTACCCAGATCCTAATCCTGACGTGTGTTGAAGATACACTTGAACGTATTTTCAGGTTTTGAAATCTTCGGTGAAACATGATTTTATTCCGAAAGTTGATGTATTGATTCCAAGTATGAAAACACACTCCAGTCATATTACCCACAATTTCCCTCTAATTTTTCATTTGTTTCCCTTTTTACTTTCTCGTATACATCCGTATACACGGAGTAATATATTTAGTATAGGGAAAGTTATATAATGCTGCGGAAAATCCATTTCGAGATTCCAATGGAAATACACGTTTTGGGACACCGAAAAAGTGTTATTTTTTTCAAAACGCCCGTCTGTGAACAGCACTAGCGCCTAAATCAAAGTAGCATTTTTTCCAAATTGAGGAAATCCCTGTCCACCTGGCTCGAGTCGAAGCTTTGGGATTGTGAGAAACAATCTTTAAGTTTGTGGGTACTGTATATGAATCCCTCTGAACATTTCCAAATTTCCTTCTTTTCTTCGTCGCCTTTGTGCTGGCTGCGCCGGAGGGCGGGCGGCGTCGGTGCCACGCGCGGAAGAGGCCCCAGGGCGGGAGGCGGGACGAGGAGGCGAACGAGCGAAAGGGACGAGGCGCTCGTTTTGGTGTAGTCAACTACCAAGGTCATTAGTCCCGAAAGTGTAGTACTGCACGTTTAGTGACGTGATCTTTCCCTCGCTGTATGTCTGGGTTTTCCTCAACCAGGTATCTCCCATCAGTGGGGCACCGCCCCAGCCGGGACAAGCTCTAAGCTCCCGACCGGTCTCCCGACGTTTGTTTTTGTGTAGTGCGTGTTAGTGTGCACGTAAGGGGAAATAATAGGAAGGAGGAAGGAAGGGGTAGGAAAGATCGCGCGCGGTCTGGTCCCCTTTGTTAGTACTGTTGCTGGTACTGTTCCGGCATTCGCCTGATGTTGATCGGAGTAACCACCGAAAACTACGGATCAGAGCAGCCGACTGCGACTGAGTTTGTCCTAGCTGACAAGCTGTGTTTCAAATCCTGCCACCGTCGGGACTCGAACCTAGGACCTCCCTGTCAGAGGGACTGCAGTGACATCGACTGATGCCCTGAGCCATCTCTCCCGGTACAAGACGCTGAAGAAAGACAAGTGAAATCAAGGTACCATAAGAAAAGGCGAAATGACACGCAAAATATGTCACCATCCGAAAATGGGTCCTGCAAAAAACGTAAGAAGGGAGAAAGGAACCTAGAGAAATAATGAAAGGTCAACTGGAACGGAAAACTGATAGAAGGAATGAAGGAGTAAACATTGATTCTGATAAAAACTGGTCGAATGAATGAAAGTGTGGGGAGATTGGCGTAAGATACAGATACAGAACAATTGATATAACAGAAGTACGTAACAACTACCGTGTGATGAGGCAGCGGTGAGTGAGATGCGAGAGAAGAGTGCATGGGGAGGCGCAGTTGGGGAGTACGAAGTGAATAAAAGCAGCAAGCAAGAACTCTGGGAAGATATTCCTAAGCGCCTTAGTGAGGTGAGTATTGCAGGAGTAAATGGTAAGGGGTGACGTTGGATTTTAAAAGGAGTTAAAAAGGATCGTTGCACGGTCATAGTAGAAATATGGATACCGTACATTTCAGTTTATACTTGAGCTCGAAAATCAATGACTAGCACATAAAACTTTAAAATATTTGAATGATTCCATTATGCTGATCGACATTTGAACTGAATTTATAATAACTGTTTCAGGATTGTAATTCCATCGCTTACTATGTTAAACATGAAGGAGTGGAAGGTGCGTCTTTCGCATTTTTTAATTGCGTTACGAAAAAGTGATGAAGTGGAGCTTGAAGAGCGGCAAGCGAGATGCAAGATTGCGACGTTAGGAGGCGGCGGATACCATAGCGAGGACAGATGGAGGGAGTGGATGGTGCGGAGGATACGGAGAGAACCGGGCGAATGGATAAGGCGGACGGGGTGGGAACATAGAGGTCAGGGGGTTAGGGAGCGAAGGAAGAAACTGACGGGGCGGGGCCTGACGGGGCGGGGCCTGAACCGGGGCGGGGGTGGTGACGGAGGCTGGCGGCCTGGACAGGGGCGGCTGAGGGGCGTGAACGGGGCCGGGGCCTGAACAGGGGCGGGCCTGACGGATGCGAGGCGGCATACGGGGCGGGGCGTGACGGGGTGGCTGGAGGCTCGTCCGACGAAGGGGCGGGGCGACGCGGGCGCAGGGGCTGACGGGGGGGGCGAGGGGCGGGCGCTGCAGGGCGGGGCCTGAAGGGCGGGGCATGACGGGGGCCGACGGGCGGGGGTGACGGGGCGGGGCATGTACGGGGCGGGGGTGGACCGGGTGGGCTGGGGGCGACGAAGGGCGGGGGGGGCTCGGGGACGGGGCTGGGGGGCTGAGGGGGCGGGGGGCTGCACGGGGGCTGCGGAGGGCTGACGGGGCGGGGGCTGACGGGGCGGGGGGCTGACGGGGGGCGCGGGGCGGGGTTGACGGGGCGGGGGCCTGCGGGCGGGGCCGACGGGGCGGGCGCTGACGGGGCGGGGGCTGACGCACTTGAAACCCACCACATTTTTGACGAGATGCTTGTGCACATTAACTATATTTGAAAATGTAACCACTCATGTTTTTTTCCAACAATATTCGCAATCAGTGCACAAAATTCATAAGGTTGTTTGGTCCCCGAAACAATTTAGCATGTATTTAAAATTATATTAAAGTATCTTGGAAGTAATATT